CCAGTTTTGCTCATAAAATTTAACTAGATTTATTTTATGTTTTTGCTCATACAACTAAACCATTTTCGTCGAGTAGCGTCAGAACAGGATACTCATATTTTTTGTAGTTTATTTCAACCTATGTACATGTAATTTTGTCGTTATATTAATTACAGCATTCTTATTTTAATATAAACCAAATTAAACGAGATCAAAAATTCATGAGTTTTTATAAGAATTATTTAATTATGATGATTAGGCAGAAAATTTAACGAAACACCGGAATAACTTTATTTAAAACAATTAAGTTTAACAAACATTTGTTACATGGTTGTGCTCATGAAATTTAACTAACAATTTATTACACGGTTTTGTTCATAAAATTATATCTAACTATTTATTTCATGGTTTTGCTCATAAAATTACACCATTTTCGTCGAGTAGCGTCAAAACCGGAAACTCATATTTTTTGTAGATTTTTTCGAACTATGTATATGTAATTTTGTTGTAATATTAATTACAACATGCTTATTTTAATGTAAACCCAATTAAACGAGATCAAAAATTCATGAGTTTTTATAAGAATTATTTAGTTATGATGGTTAGGCAGAAAATTTATTGAAACAACAAAATTGAAACAAAAATAACTTTATTTAAAACATTTAAATTTAACTAACGATTTATTACATGGTTGTGCTCATAAAATTTAACTAACAAATTATTACATGGTTTTGCTCACAATAATGCTTTAAGAACAAAAGAGGCGTTGCGATTGTGATACTGATTTGTGATACGCGCTGCGTGTCTGTACGTGCACACCCTACCAAACCGTTACAAGGCGCCAGGTAGCATCGGGTAGCGTTGCATCGGGTGTGTTCCCCGCTTAAAGAGTGGTCAACAGGTCCTCACATTTTTTGTAGTTTATTTCAAACTATGTATATGTAATTTTGTCGTTATATTAATTGCAACATTCATATTTTAATGTAAACCAAATTGAACGAGGTCAAAAATTAATAAGTTTTTATAAAAATTATTTAATTATGATGGTTAGGCAGAAAATTTAACGAAACACCGGAATAATTTTATTTAAAACAATTAAATTTATCTAACGATGTTACATGGTTGTGCTCATAAAATTTAAGTAACAATTTATTACACCGTTTTGCTCAAAATAATGCATTAAGAACAAAAGAGGCATTGCGATTACGATACTGATTATTGTGATACCCGCTGTGTGACTGTACATGGCGTGCGCTTGACGTCGCATAGATGTGCACACCCTACTAAAACGAGACAAGGCGTCGGGTAACATCGGGTAGCGTTCCATCGCGTAAGTGTGTTCCCGCTTTATTTTAAAAAAAAGCCTACATTGAAGCCACATTTTCAGTTTACAGAAAAAAATGGGTGAAATTTACTACTTTTAGAAAACCAAAGGATAACATTACACAAACATGTACAATGTTTTCCTCCAAGGTAGGCAAAATGATCTCAGATACTCATCCCCAACGACTCCAAGTTTAAAATTCTACACATCGAAAACATGCGGACCGGTGTGATCGTAGACGACCAACAATATTACTATCCCATTATGAAATCTTTTGGAAGGAAAACGTCGAGAATTGAATTCACTCGTGTAAAATGAACAAGTGTTTCATTTGTAGTCAGATAACAAAGAGGCCAATCTACATGAATGCCGGGGCTCATGTTGGGTTATAAAGGCTCGACTATGAAAAACCAAAGCATTTTGTTTGTGACCCTAATACTTCACCACTGTCACACAATTTACATCTAATTGTAATTATCCGGAAAATTAATATTTATTAGGATTTACCAGGCTTAAGTTCTAAATAAAACCGTAAATGAAACTCGCAATAAATTTCTTGGAATATTTATCCTCGTAATTAAAATTAAAAATAAAACCAGACATATATTTGATTTCATTTTTTATAATTTATTTTATTTATTATTACCCCTTAAAATTATCACTTTTTCTCACGTAAATAACTTCTGGGCTGAGTTGCGACTACTATATTTCAGTTATTTTATATATTTGCATTATTTATAGGTTAGCCTTATTTCATAGGTTTTCATTTTAGTTATTCATTGAACATAATCAATTTATCGAGGTCTCTTTTTCCCGCCAAATTTCGCCCTTATTTCAAAATAATAAAACTTTTGTTTAACAATTTAATTCACAAACAATCCGCCTCGTCTAATTTTTCTCGGAGGGACACTTTAACCTTTCGACTCCATTTTAATATATTCAATGACCAGAGGAATGAACAATGCGTCTTTCGATTGTTGGTAATTGTAAGGACGATTTAATACTTGACGAATCCCTTTTGAAAAGTGGTTTAACGGCTAAGTATAACATAATTCCATAAGTTTGGTCGTTTCCTATCCTCACCTTTCAGGTCTCTCATTCAAGAATTCTCGACATCTCAAGTGCCTAAGGTGGACGCGTCTGAAAAAGCAGGACAGCTAGGATATGGAGGCCCAGATAATCGGAAACGACCAAAATCAGGTTGATCATTCCGCAGGCACCGAGGAGATAAATGAGGTGGCCAAAAGGCCATCCACAACTGGATCTGAGTATTGTGTATTGTGCTCCTCTATATTTTTTTCTTTTTTATAACTCACTGACCAGCTCAGGCTTTAATCTCCATAGCCTTGCCAACGGCTCCTTAGCACTTGCGGCTTTTCCTCTTCCAGCTGGAAGAATCTTCACATACACTGAACCTCAGAAAAAACATAGAATGTGTTCTGCGGTCTGTTCTTCTCCTGGCAGTATCTAGACAGTATTTCTTATGTCTCCTATCCGGTGCATATGACTTATTAGGCGTGTCAAGTCAGGAGTCCAACCAGAATCCTAGATCTGTTGGGGATTCCAGCAATTACTTTTTAACTCTTACAGAAGGCTCTTTTATGTATCTCTTCGTGTGCCTTCATTAAGGATCCATTTTTTGGATGTATCTTTTTTTATGGCAAGGTGCTAGGCCTCAGTATGGTTCGGGGCCAAGAGAATTCATATCGGCTCCTTTTATGGCCAATATGTTCACTTTCTCATTGCCTCTACGTCCCAAATGTCTAAGGACCTATGCCACGGACAGGTCACTGTCTGTTAAGGATTCTATACAATTCCATACGCTTTTTGCCTTTACTCACGAGGCTAAAGCCGGGAACACACTTACCCGATGCTACGCCATGCGACGCTACCCGACGCCTTGCCACGTTTTGGTGGGGTGTGCACATCTATCCGACGCAAGCACACGTCGCGTACAGTCCACAGCGTTTATCACAATAATCACTATCACAATCGTCTTTTGTTCTTAATGAACTATTTTGAGCAAAACCTTGTTGCTAAAATTGTTAGATAAATTTTATGAGCACAACCATCTAATAAATTGGTTGTTAAACTTAATTGTTTTAAATAAAGTTACTCCTACCTATTATAATTAAACAATGTTCATAAATTCACTATTTTCGTGGTCCGCTTGACCAATTAATACATGACAATTAATTAAGGTTTTTAGTTGAGATGAAAAAAAGCTAATGGCACGAGAGGGTAATGTATTAATTGGTCAAGCGGGCCACGAAAATAGTGAATTAATGATTTAAAAATGAAGTACACTTCACTAAAGCTCTCCGTGGTCATTTCATTTGTCGCCGAGAAACCAATCCGATTACACGACATTTGAAAAATAGCAAAAGGAGGGAAAACTCATAAGGTGGGGTTGAGATGGGGAGTTGATGTCCGAGTGGATCGAGGTCACGATAGCTCAAGTGGTAGAGCAGCGGCGTATCTAGCCGAAGGTCGTGGGTTCGANTGTTCTGATGCTACCCGACGAAAATGGTATAATTTTACGAGCAAAACTATTAAATAAATTGTTAATTAAATTTTATGAAAAAACCGTGTAATAAATTGTTCCAATTTTAGTTTGTAGTTTGTATAAAAATATGAGTGCCCGGTTTTTTTGTCTTCGACTGTACTCGATGCGTCCTGGACAACAAATCTGGACAGTGGGGATCGCGTAGCATAGAGTAGGGTAGCGCTGCGTGGCATCGGGCAGATGTGCACGAGGGTAATACAATCTTATGGAAAATCGGAGTTTGGATTTGCTTCGGGTAGCATCGCATGGCGTAGCATCGGGTAAGTGTGTTCCCGGCTTAAGGCCTTAAGTGCCACCTGACTGCGCACCTGCTTTTCAATTCCGAAGTTAACAAATCGCGCGAGGTTTATAGAACATTAATTTGGAAGAAATAAGCGTTTATACCCTTCACCATAAAACTTGTTTAAGGAACTGAACGATTAATGCTCACTAAGTATACGACTAGCAGGTAATATAGAACAATAATTCTTTTATAATTTGCTAATGGTTTAAATCAAAAATGTGACGAATGACTGTCGGAGAGAATTTTTTTCGTTTTTTAAAGTGTATTCTTGTTACTGATAACTACTTATACTGAGGGAAAGACTATTAATTTTATGTAAATGGAACACATCTGGACTGATATTTACTTTTTTAATAATAGTTAACGTTATCTTCTATATCTCGAAACTAGATCAACAGATTAACAATATGATTCCATTGTTCTTTTTTGCAAACCTTATAAGCAACAATCAAATTGTGTACAAAAAACTGCACGATCTGACAATGTTAATTAAATAGAATACTTGGTGAAAAAGTTTAAATGTGAAAGTTGAGTGTATCGATAACCTTGAAGAAGGTGTGAGTGAATTTGATTAAATCTATAAAGCGAAACGTTGTTAGAGATAAGCAGCTTGGGGTGAAGAAATATTTCGTGATCATAGTGAAGTGGTCAATTGTGAAAAATTCCAAAAAAAGGGGATAAAACATTCGAGAAAGCCGGCTTTTCAACGGCTATGCACAATTAATCTGCCACCTTGAGGATCTAATGAATTGCGGAAATTTAGTAAAAAGTAAATTGCAATTGTGAGGATGGGGTCTGAATATAAAAGAAAGCAGTTTGGGTGGATAAAGCAATTCGGAGGTTTTTACCTTTGTGGTGAGGATAGATGGTCGGCTGCTGAATGTGCGCTACTCTCGGCTTCCTGTCGCCATTCACCGAGTACAGGAATCTATCGAGTCCTATAAACCAATATGACGTCTAATAATTCCCTTTTTCACTATGCAAACATTTATTTATTTATTTATTTTTTTTTTAGTAAGTAAGAGAAACAAATTGAACCTACTGTTAAAGATTAAAATAAAATGTTCACAAATTCTGGTATACCCGATTGCATATGAACATCTAACAACACTATTACCATTAATTTCACTAATTTCGTGGTCCGCTTGACCAATTAATATATTACAATTAATTAGGGTTTTTAGTTGAGATAAAAAAGTCAATGGCACGAGCGGGATTCGAACCCGGCTGCTCGTCCATTGGAACCGAACTACGACGGCCGTTCAACAGCCGAACTATTTGACCAAACAGACGATCGGCAATATAGCCGAAAGCCTCGTCCACTGTAGCCGATTTTCGCCAGTTCACGACACAGCCCAAATGGATGTAGAAGATTTGTTGCTGCTTGAAAATTCTTGGTTTACATACTAATGGGATGAAAGAAATAAACAAAAATATTGGAAGTTCCATTTCTAAAGCTATCCTTGACCACAGCTTACGCTGGACATCTCTCCGATGATAGAGTGGATCACGCATGTTCCAAGAGTCTGCTCCTCAACTGCCCTTATCAATTTTTCGCAATCCATCGAAATGAAAACGAAACGAAAAGGTAAGCCAAAAGGAAAGAACGGCGTTAAACAATGGTGAGCGTTTGATGTCACGTGGTTGACAGTGGAAGTCGAAGTAACAATAATCTGCCACCTCGAGGAACTAATGAATTGCGGAAATTGAGTAAAAAGTAAATTGCAATTGTGAGGATGGGTTCTGAATATAAAAGAAAGCAGTTTGGGTGGATAAAGCAATTCGGAGGTTTTTACCTTTGTGGCGTAAATCCATTCGGCCGAATAGGACTGGAAAATCCAACTTTATTTGGATCGGAAAGTGCTTACACGGCCCAACACGACCGAACGAATTGGTTCTAATGGACGAGTGCGCATTCGTTTCTTCGCTTTTGGATCATCCGGCCCTATTCGGCCGTTGCACGAAAACGGCTCCAGTGGACGGCCTACCTCAGTGTCCGAGTGGTAGACAGCGGCGTATCTAGCCGAAGGTCGTGGGTTCGAATCTCGCTCGTGCCATTGACTTTTTATCTCAACTAAAAACCTTAATTAATTGTAATTACCATTAATATTTAAATAGTTGGAAAAGCTTTCGCAACATACTGCATCTCTAAAGACCTCTTACCATCAGACTACATATTTCGAACACATTTATTTAAAATCGCGTCTCAACGAGTCACTAACAAGATAGCAGCATAATTAACCGGTTAATTATTTCTCCAAAATGTATAAAACTATATTAAAAATATTTAAAAAAAATATCCATTATAAATTAGAAATACGTTATTATAAACCACTCTTTCGATTCATTTTTTTAAATTATGCTAGTGCAACGCAGGACTCAATTTTATATTTTAAAACTTAGCTAAGTTCGCTAATAGCTCCTGGTGCGTGACATTGCGTGGTTCAAAATGAAACTAATGATAAAACCTAACGCATGGAATTACCATGATAAAGTACAAAAAAATCTTGTTTTTCTCTATCACTTGCTCGTCACACCCCACCCTCATCCACAATGAACGTTTTATTTTTATTAATTTTCATTGGTTTTTTAAATTTTGAAGCTGACGTGTTAACGTTAAAGAATCGACGGCGTTGGGGAGGAATTTTTTAGGAGGTAAAGATGGCGCCCCCATCACTCACGCATTAAATTCTCCGAATTTTAATCCCCGCAGGACTTAACATAAAATCTTGGTTAAGATGAAAAAGTTATTGTCACGAGCGGGATTCGAACCCGCGACGTTCGGCTCGATACTCCGCTGCTTCAACCATTTAAACTACCGCGACCTATCCTGATAGGTCAATTATGACCGCTAAACCTACAAGGATGATTAAAATATATTGTAATAGTTTCAAAACCGAGCTTACGCTTACAGGACTTATTAAAGAATATAACTAAATATTTTTAACGTAATAAAATTCAAAATTTAGCTAAGGCCCGGCGATCAATGGATGACGTCAGAGATGAGAAAGTGAGGATCTTATTTCCCATTCTATCTGAACACTCTCCGACAACTTTATATTCCAACTCGAAGACTTTCATTATCGTTTATGAACTTTTATTATGAGCTAAATAGTGAAAATTGGATAAACATAGTGGCTAATGGGGACTCATATTCCAGAAGATATTTCTGACAGGGTCGACGTGAAAATTTGGAAATTTTTGTAAAAATAAACTATTGACTATGGAAATCAAATTAAAAAATTATTACTGAGTACAATATGCCAATTCTATCGGAAATATTATTGATTCTAAAAATGAATTCTAGAATGGGAATTGGAAATTGAAAAGTTGGAAAAGCGAGAGTGGGAGTATGAAGAGCCCTTACTTCTCACGCACCAAAATATTTTCTACAATTCTCACAGAATTCAATATGAAAATTCCATATTTTTAAAACTCGTCCAAATCCAAATATATATAAAAAAATAAAAAAACATATAGTATATTAAAAATGTGTTACCGTTTGAATGAGCAGGAGGAGGTTCCGGCCACAGCCTAGGGGGCTTTGGTGGGCTACCAAGCATCCCTTTACTGCACCGCTCTCCTGAAACAGAAAACAAATATGTAAGATAAAGAATTCATTAAAAAACATTAATTTTACCTTGAATCACAAGTCATATTTACAGAAATATATTATACCAAATTACACACATATCGTCCCAAAGAAGGCCACCTAACACATGCGTTTGAATTAGTTAACTAATTGTTTTATTATTTATCCAAATAGTTAACGTTTTTGTTCAAAACCAGTATTACCATTGTCGTATTATCTTGCCAAGAAGAAGATTCAGAAAATTTGTTTTATAACGAGTTTTAAACACAAATAAGTTGGGTTGGTTCTCTGGAATCGATTAGAGATAAAAGCTATGCTGTGTCTCTGTAGAACTTTGAAAGTGATTTGCAGGTCGGGGCTGCTCCACAGGGGCAAACTTTGAGCTTAATACGGCCAAACTGAGAATAGATTGAAAATTAACACACAAAAAAGCCTTAATTAAATAATATCAATAATTTTTATAGAAAAATACTTAAACTCTAACTTAAAAAAGCCAGAAACTAGAATTATTGAAATTAAACTTTGACCACGCCCAACGTAACACCAAGCAACTTAGACACGCCCACTTTAAAACATCATACGTGATTAACCTGACGTTTTTGAAAAAGCAAGTCGTGGTGATAAATAAATAATATAACAATGCTAGAAACGTAGAAAGTAAACGGTGACTGTGCCCAACTTATAACATCAAGTAACTTAGCCACACCCACTTTAAATCATTGTACGTGTGATTAACCTTACGCTTTAGAAAAACCAAGTTGTGATGATAAAAAAATCATATAATTTTCTAGTAAATTAGGTGGCTACAATAAAATTGAAAAAATAATAAACTACATAAAGGGCCCGCTTTGCAAGCCTGTTTTCCATAGACCTCGTCCAATACCCTGATCAATTAGAGACAAAGTTTCAGAGGACTTGGATAGGCTGGTAAAAGAAGGTCAGTTGGAGCCGGTAGAAAGTGCTGACTGGGCATCAACTTTTGTTTTAGTACTTAATTCTAGTGGCACTATCAGAATTTGAGGGGATTACGAAGTATCATTAAATAAACATTTACAAACAGATGGATACCCGTTTGCAAAAAAAATCTGAACTATTTTTTTTCTTTAAAAAATTGCCGTTTTCAGTAAACTAGATTTATTGGGGGTAGGTACCAGGAGAATTGGATGAGGCTTTAAGAAAAAAATAGTAGTTATGAAGCACAAAGGGTTGTTCAAGTACCGAAGATTACTTTATGGAGTATCTTCAGCCCCTGTTATATTTATTAGGGAAATGAAACAATTATCATTAAATGTGCCAGGTGTCATTTATTTTTATATATTTTTATAGGAGGTATCAAATTTGATGATGCGATAAAGCGGAACATTTGGAAAGACTAAACATGGTTTTGTCTAGGCTCAAAGAAGGGGATTAATGTTATCTAAAGAAAAGTGTCAACTTCTCCAAGATTTTGGGGTATGTGATTTCTGGAGAAGGAATTAAAATACTAGAGAGTAGAGTAAAAGCAATAAATGACGCCTCTGTCCCTAAAGACTTAACACAATTAAAATCTTTTTTAGGAAACGTGAACTAATACACCAAATTGGTCGGAAATATTTCGAACATGACAAGTCCACTGTATGACTTGTTTAAATTCAATACTAAATTTCTCTGGGGAGAAAAACACACAAAGGCTTTTGAAAACATAAAAAATAAGATTTTCGTTTAAATGTTTAATATATTACGTCCAAATTTAAATTTTTTGTCTCAGTAGACAGAAGTACGTATGGTATCGGGGGAGGGGGTTTATTGCCCATTAACTATCAAACGGATCAGAGGTCTATTGCTATTTGCTGGAAAACCCTACCCATGAAAAACGACATGGTCAGACAGACAGATTGCCTTGGCGATCGTCTATTCAGTTCAATTTCTTTTGGTAGACGGTTTACCTTAAGGACAGATCATAAGCCTCTTATCACATTTTTCACCCGTAAAAGGCAATTCCAAATGTAAACAGATTACAACGGTATGCTGTATTTTTGAGCGCATTAAATTATAACACAGAGTTTTTTAAAAATAAAAATAATGTTATTGCTGATATGTTATCGAAATTGTAACGAACGCTCCACGACTAAAACCGGATAGATAAAAAAATCCTATTTAAATCTTAGTTTCTAGTTCTAATTCAAAAATAAAAGAGGAAACTCGAAACGATGTAATTTTAAACGAAGTAATTTCTAAATTGAGAAATGGCGATTGGCCTAGCAATATTAAAGAAACAGCTTTGGATTTGCTACCTTATTTCAGGACAAAGGATGAATTACATACACAACAGGATGTCGCGGCCACAGTTGTACCAACCTAATCAAGTTCCACAATAATTAAATAATTACACTGCACACACCTTGGTATTGTAAAAATGAAATTCTTGGCAAGATCAATAATCTGATGGTTCAAATTGGATAAACAATGAATAACTGGCCAAAACATGCGAAATTTGTTTTTTTATTAAAGACATTACTGACGTGCAAATAAGGGACCGACCCACAAAATTCATGTAGATTTTCTTGGATCTTTTAAAAGAAAAAAAAATATTGTTATCATCCATGGTTATTGTAAGTAGATTTTTGTTAAACACATGAAAAATATAACGTCTTACAGTACTATTTCCATCATCAAAGAAATTTTTTTCAATGGGACCGCCTTGTTTGATCATTACTGATAATGGGAAAGCTTTTTGTAAGGAGTTTTTACATGATTTAGGAATTAATCATATAACGTATCCAAGTTAAGTAATGATAAAGTGTTACAGAAGTACAACATCCATGGGGAAAAAAACAACTGCAGAGAAGCAATTAAGCTCCGTTATTTTTCAGGAAAAATTATGAAGCCACCAAATTCAACCAAATATGGAAAACTGCGTTTCGTTTTCAGGGGACGACTTCATAATTTTAGTTCCGTGTTTCAGTGAAATGTATTGATGTTAACATTGTTAATCAAGGTGCACTGTATTTTTACTTAAATTAAGAGATTATTGTATAACTTCTTGTATATACGTTTATTGTGTTCAATACATATTGTGGAAAAGACAATTTACTTCCTACCCATCAACTTATTATGGAGGAGTTCGACAAAATCAGAATGGACCCTACCAAAAAGTTATATTTTGTGTATTATTTTATTGTTTTTAAAGTTTACTTGAACGATTACCTTGTAATTAAGTGGAGGAGTGTAGTGTTTGTTCTTAATAAAGTGAGCTAAGTAAAGGCTAGAGGGTGTACTATTCAGGTATAGGACTGGAGATTATACCTACTGCATCGGTTGATTTTGAAGCTTCGACTTGTAAAGACGTTTGTTTGAAGTGTGTTTTTCTTGGTCACCTTGAGTAATAACTACTTAAATTTATATGGAGAAAAAGAAAAGAGTAAAAAAAAAACAAAAAACGATACTGTAAACCGACATTATACGTTCCAGTTAATGAAAATTTATGAGTGGTTTCCAATTGATTAAGGCTTTGGTTGAGATAAAAAAATCAGTGTCATGAGCGGGATTCGAACCCACGATCTTCGGCTAAATACGCCGCTGCTCTACTACGTCAGCTATCGTGACTTCGATCCACTCGGACACTAACTTCCCATCTCAACCCAACCTTTTTGAATTTTCCCTCCTTTTTGCCATTTTTCCATTTGGTCAAGCGGACCACGAAACCTAATGTAATACGCAAAAATGAAGTATACTTCACTAAACTCTCCGTGGCCATTTTATTTGTCGCCGAGAATCAAATAGATTACACGACATTTGAAAAATGGCAAAAAAGGAGGGATAATTCAAAAAGGGGCGTTGAGATGGGAGGTTAGTATCCAAGTGGATCGAACTGGTAGAGCAGCGGCGTTATTTAGCCGAAGATCGTGGGTTCGAATCCCGCTCCTGACACTGACTTTTTTATCTCGACCAAAGCCTTAATAAATTGAAAAGAATTTATTTGATCAAGCGGACCACGAAACCTAATAATTTATGAATTTATGAGTAGTGGGTGATATTAACAGTGACTTTTAATTAATGATTATTTGGAGATTCTGAGAAGCGGTCTGGTGTGACTTAGATTTACAAAAACGTTTTCTTTATCTTGCCAACGTTTCGGTCTTTATTGAGATCATCTTCAGGGCTCAAAGTGTTTGTTATCTGTGTAGATGTGTCATTACTATGTGTCTTGTTAAGAGTGCCATTTATGAGTAGTTTCAATTAATTATTCTTTTTATGTAAGATCTTGGTTGAGATGAAAAAGCTAGTGTCACAAGGGGGATTCGAACCCGCGCCACGTATTGCGCAGAAGGTCGTGGGTTCGAATCCCCCTCGTGACACTAGCTTTTTCATCTCAATCAAGGCCTTAAATAAAAAGAATAATTAATTGAAATAATTGATATGGCCAATTAGACTACTAAACATAAATGGATTAATTTATGAGTAGTTGATCGTCCTGATCCACCTATTCTCGCTGTATCGCGTTTCGTAAAAAAACCAAAAAAAAACACTTTTTCTTCAGTACTGCGAGAACAAGCTGACCATATACAGCCAAAAATTGTATGTTTTAATCGTTTAATTTTTATTTGTGTTTTTAACCAATTTATTATCAATGTTCTAATTTTGTCTCAATGAGTTATCAACTAGACTAGAGAGAGGTATGAGGAAATCCTGGCAATTTCTTGGCAATAAATTCACCCACAGCGCTGCGGCCAAACGTTATTTATAACCGGCGCAACATGTTTAAATATAGGCTTCCCTTAATTAAATATCCTCGGATGAAAAGGAGGTGGCAAGAGGGTGTTTTTCTTGAAGCGTTGTTTCCGTTGTCTAGCGTCGGTCTGCCAAGGCGAAAAACTGCAAATGGAAAGTGGAGGCCATCGGATAAAGATCGGAGTTTTCGGCCTGGCGGAGGCACGTGTTCTAACGAGGAGACGCTTGGCGCATAGTAAGCCAAGACAGAGATACCTCCGACCAATCAATCTCACCCCCCA